AACGACAGCATGAAGTTTTGAACAGAATTCTACATTAACTAGTTATCTGGTAAAAACAGGAGTTTTGGGATTCTTGCTGCTAAATCAAAAAAGTCAGCGATCAAATAATTCCCTCATCATGTTTCCATCCGCAGGAAGATACTTCCAATGTAAGTGTTCCGAACTGCTATTACAGTGGCCCTGACAACGCTTATTCTGTTGCTGACGTAAAATACACGTCATCGGGTGTGACGGCCAATCTCACCTTCAACAAGACCAGTCTCAAAGCCTACGAGAAATCAATGTTACCCATCAGTAGTCTTCGTGTGGAGGTGAAATATCACAACAACCATATGCTGCAATTTAAGGTAATGCGGAATCTCTCTGAGTTTGTATTGTTCCACTGGTCAAAATGGTGTCATTTCCAGAAATAATGTTTCTAGTCAATTTTGTATTATATGGATAATGTTCTGTCATCCAAATAAGTTGCTCCTTTTAAGCTAATAGCTTTTGTTGCTCTGAGTCTTGAATCAACTCATACAAACTTATAGGACACAGAAAACCTGAAGAAAAATCTCTTAAAGCTGGCTAAAAAGTCAACCAAAAAGATGAAATCCATTTACTGTACATAAAAATACACTTAAATCAATATATTTAAATAATTAAATGAGTCATTCCTGGTCCAAAATAAAATCTTAAGGTTCTTCTTTTCCTGACCCAAATGTTTTGAAGGAATTTGAGAGAGAATACATATTGAAAGAAAGCACGTATCTCAGCAAATTTACTGAAGCATTTTCAGTCAGTCAATTTTCTTACCGTTGTTGGTAAGAAACAATTGAACAATTGTTCAATTCCCTGACTCGGAGTCTTCCACTCTGTAGATAATTTCTATCAATCAGTAGGAATACAAATAAATGCTTTCACTGTTTTTACCTGGAATTCTTGAAAATGTAACTTGCTAGTGTATGCATATTCCGTGGACACTGAAATGAATTATTTTTCCATGCATAGATATATGATTATGCGAATGAAAGATATGAGGTGCCGATAGCGCTAAATCTTCCCAAGTCCCCAGAGAGCACAGTTGAGAATCGGCTTTACGACGTAATGATTCAGGACAAACCATTTGGCATCCAGGTTCGGCGCAGAAGCACAGGGACAGTGATGTAAGCCATGCTCATTTAATTTCATGTTTTAACGTCATTTTACTAATTTATTTTTCATTTAATTTTTCATTTAATTTTTAAATATTATTTATTTGACTAATTTTTCTTTTATTTTTGCATTTAATCTAATCTAATTTCCTTTCCTAAATATTTCATTTCTTCATTTCTTCACTCACCTTTTCTTTCATCTCTTCTCCTTTGTCCTTTTCCTTCTTCTCCTGCCACGACGTTTCATCATCCAGTATGTTCTAAATGCAATGAGACAAGTTTTTGTGTCCGTCTTATAAAACAACCCCATCTGTCAAATACTAAACTCTGCCCCAGTGGCCATCGCCTGACCTTTGCATAAGTACGCGAATATTAACCCAGAGGATGGAGATGTGACCTCAACAAGACCCTATTTTTTCCCCGAATTGGCTAAGGTGTTTCCCTGCCACCTCATACTTCGATACAGGTTAGAAGTCCTGGGCAGCATATTCAAGTACAAAGCTGGATGTTTCCAAACACCAATTTTTGTGCAGTTCCCAAGTAGCACAACAATTTTCTGCACTTTTTAATATTTTCTTTAGCATTGTTTAAGAAGGGGTTTTGTGCATCTGTTTGCTTGTTCTTTTGTCTTACTATTTTCTTTAAAGCAATCAAAATTTAATTGCAAGCTGAGTTCCTTTTTGCCAACCAGAGTAAATTATTCATTCCATAATTCAGCCTCCCACGTCCATGGCAGTCATTGGAAGAACAGTCAGATTGTGACTTGGTTTCAGAGAAAAGCTATTTACACCTTTTTTGATTGTCAACAAAATCTGCACAAAAACCCCACCATTAAGCTAAAAAAGTCCTAAAGTTGTTTACGTTTTCTTGCTAACCATAATAGTTTTATTCTAACTTTTGTGAATAATGAGATTTTTAGAGAAAGAGAGTCGGCCTCGAAAGGTTGAACACCAGCGACGCCCAGTGATGTGATTGCCATCATTTTGTTCTGTTTTCCTCTGTTTCAGCTGGGATTCTCAGCTACCAACTTTCACCTTCAGCGACATGTTCATTCAGATTTCTACTCGTTTAGCTTCCCAATATTTGTACGGCTTCGGGGAAACCGAACACACGAAGTTTCGACGTGACATGAACTGGCACACCTGGGGAATGCTCTCCAGGGACCAGCCTCCTGGAGTAAGTGTGAAAAAAAAGTAAATCCACATTTTGCTGTCTTTTCGGGAATTTCTGCTTTTTGCCTTGTATCAAGGGGTGTTGATGGGCTGTGGAGATAGAAAGTCTCCAGAGTGGGGCAGCCCCCGGTATCGGCACTGTCTGGGGGATGCGGGATGGCCAGCAGCCCTGCCGAGGACTCGGGGTCCTGGTGGGCAAGAAGCTGGACGTGAGCCGGCAACGTGCGCTCGCAGCCCAGAAGCCAATGGTGTCCTAGGCTGCCCCCAAAGCCGCGTGGCCAGCAGGGCGAGGGAGGGGGTTCTGCCCCTCTGCCCCGCTCTGGGCAGACCCCCCTGCAGTGCTGCGTCCAGCTCCGGAGCCCTCGGCACAGGAGAGACACGGACCTGCTGGAGCGGGGCCAGAGGAGGCCGCAGCCACGCCCCGAGGGCTGGAACAGCTCTGCTGGGAGGACAGGCTGGGAGAGCTGGAGGGGCTCAGCCTGGAGCAGAGAAGGCTCCGGGGAGACCTTCCTGCAGCGGCCAGGACTCCAAATGGGGCTGAGGAGAAAGACGGGGACAGACTTTTTAGCAGGGCCTGTAGCGATAGGACAAGGAGTAAGGGTTTTGAACTCAAAGAGGGTAGATATAAGGAAGAGATTTTTGACAATGATGGTGGTGAAACACTGGCCCAGGTTGCCCAGAGAGGTGGTGGATGCCCCATCCCTGGGAACACCCCAGGTCAGGCTGGACGGGGCTCTGAGCACCCTGCTCTGGGTGAAGATGTCCTTGCTCACTGCGGGGGGTTGGACTGGGTGGCCTTGAAGGGCTCCTTTCAGCCCAAAGCTTCGATGATTCTGTGATTCTATGATCTGTCCTCCTGGGTCAGACCTAGGAAAAGTCCTACAACTTTGGGATTGAATTAGGACTTACAGTGTCAAAAGAAAAAAAAATTATGTTTCAGCACACCCGTGTATTGGTTTTTGCATAACACAAATATTGACAGTTTACATGGGATTAATCATGGAATAGCAGTACTTTATTATAGCTGTAGTTTGAACAGTTGAAATATTTTAAGTAAATGAAAAATAAGAGAAAGTCACCAGCTTGTCTTAATGATAAAGGCTACCTGGAAATATTTGAAAAGAAGAAAAAATTTTCTCCTAGAGAATGATTTCATATCAGCAATTTTTAAAGCTCTAAATACATTTTCTTCCCTCCCTGCTTTGAGCAATCGGGAACAGATCGACCTCAAAATTTGAAGCTGGAAATGGTTGCTGCTTGTCAACACTTACCCTGAGATGTTCAACAGGCGACATTCTTCTGCCTGACAGTCGTGTATCTGATAATGTATTAACCTTGTTATTTAAAATGGATAATTTATTGGTAGCTGCAAATAAGGGAATGCTTACGATGTCTTCCTAATAGAAAATACTTTATTTCTTTTGCAGTACAAGTTGAATTCATATGGTTTCCAGCCGTTCTACATGAGTCTTGAAGAAGATGGCAACGCCCATGGAGTTCTCTTGCTTAATAGCAATGCAATGGGTAAAACAAAAAACCCTTCATCTTCTCAACGTGTTTTACTTCAATGTTCAGTTTTTGCCTTACCCAGGCATTTGTTGCCTTCTTGCACCGCCTCTGTTTTTCAGACGTGACCTTCCAGCCCACGCCTGCTCTGACGTATCGCACAATTGGGGGAATTCTGGACTTTTACATGGTTTTGGGCCCAACACCAGAGCTCATCGTGCAGCAATACACCGCGGTATGATTCTCCTATTGCAAAGTCAAAGTGGTTTGGGTTTCTTGTTGGTTTGGTGGTTTGCTTTGCTTTTTTTGGGTTTTCGGGAGTTTTTTGGTTGCTTTTTTATTTTTTGTGTTTGGTGTTGGGGTTTTTTTAGTTTTTTATTTTGCTTTGTTCTGTTTTCACATATTTGCAATAAGTATTCTTTCTTTTTCATTTTTAGCTGGTTGGACGACCAGTCATGCCACCCTACTGGGCACTAGGATTCCAGTTATGCCGCTACGGATATGAAAATGACACCGAAATTGCCAAGTTGGTGGAAGACATGAAAGCAGCCAGAATACCCTACGTACGTTGAGAGCCGTTAAAGCTTGTGATGGCGCTTGAATTTCTGGCTTCAGGGTATTGTGTAATTTAAAACAGTAGAAGAAATGCTACGATTAATGGCATAGTTCAACTTTTCCATGCACTTTACAGGAAATCACAAGGGAGACAAAATAAAGCAACTTCATTTGCATTATGTGTTGTTCTGTGCTGAGAAATCTACTTTTTGTCGTGGGTTGTTTTTGGAAAAGTTGCAAAAGCTTTAGACCTAACAAAATTATACCTAAACTAAGCATGACTTTCATTTTACAGTTAATTAACATCAAATTATTTCAGTATGGAGCAATGGATTCCGTTGTTTCTGGGCAGTGTGTAGTAACACGTATGCAGGCAGTGTGTATATTGACATATATTTATACATACGCGCAAATCCAGGGGTGGTTTTTTGCTTGCATATATGGATTTCTACCCTCACAGTAAATGCGGTGCTGGAGGCTGAATTTCAGACTGGATAGGTTGTGGAAGTGTGTTCAGCTGATAATCTGAGCTTTAAGCTGCAGCCGATTTCAGTTTTACATTTTTTAAAAAAGCCAGTAGTTTGCCTAATTTTGCAAATGGGTGACAAACTTGATGATAGGTGATGTCATTCGGGAAATGACTAAAAAACTCCACTTTATTGTAATTTTTTTGTGTGAACTGTAGGATGTCCAGTATGCAGACATTGATTACATGGAACGGCAATTGGATTTCACCCTTAACCCACGCTTCACTGGATTACCAGCTCTAATTAATAAAATACATGAAGAAGGAATGAGGTTTATTCTAATTCTAGTGAGTGTTGAATTCTGGTTTTAAATTACAGTATGCCGCTGCAGAATACAGAATGCACTTAACAGCATTTCTGCATTTGTCTTTTGAACATAAAAGTAAAATTGTATTACCTTTAATTTTAGGATCCAGCCATATCTGGTAATGAAACCGATTATCCTGCCTTCACAAGAGGTTTGGAGAAGGATGTCTTCATAAAATGGCCCAATACCAATGACATTATCTATGCAAAGGTGCTGTTCTTAAAAAGCTGGTTATTTTATCCAAATAAGCATCATGGCAGGTTAGATGTTGGGGAGAAGACTTCTAATATCACGTACATTCCCAAATTAGTTGACACAGAGTGTTACAAATGGAAATGTCTTCAGTTTGCATTGCCATTGGAATATGTAACAGCAAAGCTTTATTGCTGTTGATGCTAATTTTTTATCCAGTTTAATTTGATTATTTTAACATCTCCTTTCTCCTACTAGGTCTGGCCAGATCTTCCCAATGTAGAAGTTAATAACACACTTGATTGGGAAACCCAAGTGGAGGTAAATGTTGATATCTTTTGGTGACGTAGAGCGAGAAGAGCAACATTTTCACGTTTATATCTGTGAACTGGCTGATAAAATTTACTCTAAGGAGTTGGATGCAGAAAGTGACCAGTTGTTCTACTGGAACATCAAAAAAACCTGAATAACATCAGAATAAGTTGCAGAAACTGTCCCCCCCTTTCTGCCAGAACATCTGAAAACTGTAGCGAAGCCATGAATTTTTTAAGAACAAATTCCAATATTTTAATAGTGGGATGCATTCAGTCCTGTGTCTATGCCATATTTATTTATTTTGCTACTACTTTTACAGCTCTACCGAGCATATGTAGCTTTTCCAGATTTCTTCCGCAATTCCACAACTGAATGGTGGATGAGAGAAATTGCTGAAGTCTACACCAATCCACACAACGCATCGAAAAGCTTGAAGTTCGATGGCCTATGGATTGTAAGTGTAAAAAATTATTTTTTTTCTGAGACATTTCTGTGTCTTTTTATCCTAAGATTGGTTATTAACACCTGAAGACTCAACAATGTTCTGGTGCCTCCAAGGAAGGAAGGCTACAGATGTTTCATGCTAAATAACGTGAATGGTCTCCCTAAGTTTCAAAATCCTTGGGTGGTGAAACCCTGGCCCAGGCTGCCCAGAGAGGTGGTCGATGCCCCATCCCTGGAAACACCCCAGGTCAGGCTGGACGGGGCTCTGAGCAACCTCTAGTTGAAGATGTCCCTGCTCACTGCAGGGGGGTTGGACTAGATGGCTTTTAAGGGCCCCTTCCAACCCAAACTATTCGGTGGTTCGATGATCAACAACATCAATATTTGTTCTATTTTTTTGCCTGTTAAAAATCTTCCTTTCTCAAATCTTCATCATTTACTTTTGACCCACCTAATGGCTCTTTTTCATTGTTGTTCTGTAAGTTCCTAAAACTTCACCCCCCCAGTGAGAGACTATGACTTTTACCTCTGTTACTTCTGTGAGGGCAAAATGAGATAAATGACAGTTTTGGCTTGCTTCTTAAATGAAGTGGACTTGCAATAGCTGTGGAATCTATTAAATATTATTATATTCCTACAGAAAATCCCCAAACGTCTAGAAACCCATTTATATTAACCCACAAGTACTATATATATATATAATAGTTGGTATTTTCCTGTACTCCAACTCTACTGTACTGCTGCAACCAGAGGACCACAGGCAATGAGAACAAGAGCCATCATTACCAAGTTTGGAGTTTTTAGTAATTTACGTATCTGTAGCTGTATTTCCTGTATTGATTTCAATTTTACAGAGAAGAAAACATACCCTTTTCAGGAAATATGATTGACAAATAAGAAGTTCTTAAAACTGAAGCCTTTGCCTTCTATTTATCTCTATGAATTTGATTCTTTACTCTCTGGAAAATGAGATGTTCAGAATCTGTTTATGAAGAGAATTGCTCATGAGAAAAATTTATCTATTGTTGTTTTATACTGATTAAAAAAGAAATGCAATGGGTGGTCCTGAAAATGTGAGTTTTCCTGTTCATTTCATTTACTTGGTCAGCCCACTGACAAAGACAATTTAGTATTAAGGGCACAAACTAAAATAGCCAAAAGGAACTAGTTGCCCAAATTTAAGAGAAACTTGTTCATCTGGCATTTTGCTTTACATTTTCAGGACATGAACGAACCTGCAAGCTTCGTTAACGGTGCTGTTGGTGGCTGTAGAAATGAACAGCTAAACTTTCCACCATACGTACCCCGTAAGTCTAATCACTGCTGTAAAAAATCTAAATATTTTGGGTCACTGTGGTTTGTATAGAACTTCTTACACACAAGATGCGGCATAAATGCCTAAAATTAGGTAGTCAAATCCATAACTGAAACCATAACAGAACATCCCCCCATTTTTTCAGATGATCAATACTCTTAACTGCAGTTTTGTTGGTAAAAAAGTGACCACGTAGCAATTTTGAAAATTAAGATTTTTTTTTGCTAGATTTTGCTGTCTGTTTTCTACCTAGGTAATTTGCTTTGGATGTGGTCGAGGCTATGGCTTTCAGGGTTTTCCAGTTTTCCCAGATAAAAAATGACTAAAACTTTCAAAAATATCCTTCTGCCTCCTCCGATTAGTAGTTACTTACGTGTAAAATTATTGGGCCTATTTTGAGGAATGGTCTTGAAATACTCTTCTTAGCACGGCTTTACTTGAGTACTGGTGTAGAGTAGGATTCATTGGCAATAACTCACTAATGCTTGATTAGAATACTTCCATTGCTTCCTGATGTGTTTAAATATAATTTCTCAGGAAGTGGAGTATTCAGAAATAGACTTTTCCCCCTCAAATTTTCTGTGTATGTGGCTGCTATGGTAATATTTACAGTGATTTGCGATATTTTCTGAGTTAGGACATATTCCGTTTACCCTTTGATCCTCTCCAGTAAGAGCATCTATAACTGAGTTACTATTTTTCTTGCAGACCCAGATACTCACACAGGCGTATCAGGAATTTCAGAATTTCCTAAATTTCTGAAGTGGAGTTTCAGCATTTCTGAAATTTCTGAAATCTAACCTCAGAAAACCTAAAATGTTGTTTTCATTAAAATAAAATAAATGACCATGTAAATACTTAAAAGGAAGTGAACGTCAATCAAGATGATGCAAATTAAAAAAACAAAAGTAACTTGTTAAAATTATTATTGGATGTAAAGTGTTAAAATACGAGTGTCTTCACTCCCTTTCCAACAGAGTTAGGATTTAGATCAGAGGGATTGATTTTCAAAACGCTCTGCATGGAAGGTCAGCAATATCTCCCAGATGGTTCTCCAGTCAGTCACTACGATGTCCACAACCTTTATGGATGGTCACAAACAAAACCTACCCTCGAGTAAGTTGCATTTTTTTCACTTTCTGAAATACGTTACAAATTAATATTTAGTGTCTATTTTCTCATGAACAAGCGTTTCACCAGTTTATTTACCAGAAATAGCTTTTTTCCTCATAATTTTTTTTTTTCATCTGAGTATCTTCAGTTCTTCAATTCAAAGTGAATAATTACAGACAAAAACCCCTCACCCCCAAAACACTCTTTTGTCTCTTACAAGACAAAGTTGAGAACAATTCTGAACACTTGGGTTAATCAATCAAAAGCAATTAGTCAGTGATAGTCTCAAGCGCTTAGAGTAATTCAAGTCCACAAAAATGTTTGTTTCCACCTATTTCAAAGATAACCCGGTTTATTTATAGCGTAGATTTTCTTTTGGCCTTACATTAAGGGAGGGAAAATGAGTCTAGATTTTAAAATACAGGCTATAATACAGCCATTCTTGAGTGAATATCATCAAACTATATTAAATGGTGCTGAAAAGGGAAAAATTACTTCTGAAATGTATGTAAATCATGTGCCTAGATTTTCCTTCTAAGAAATTTTTTTATCAGTTTCAAGGCAAATTTTATGATATATTTCATACTGAATCTTATTGTAGCCATTTCTAACAATTTCTGAGGTAACGACAATAAATGAATGTTTCATTTCCAGTTTAATGCACAAGCAAGGACAGTGTATTGTTACAGATGGTCCCCATCACCCGTAACATTTATATGAGCACAAATAAAGAAAAAAACAAGTCTACTTGACTTTTTGACTGAGGGGATGTTACATTCAGCAATATGTCATCGCATCGCTTGAAGCTGAGGCTGACAAGTCAGGAAGGACATAATAATAATACTTTTATTAGGAGCCAAATCTAAAGGAATTTGGTTATTGTAAGTAGGCAGCAACTGAACACGGAGGGGAGTATTATCATTGGTTCCGAATATCAAGTCTGTAAAGAAATATTTTCTTCTGTTTTAAAGAGGCACTATAAGATATTATATCAATTATATTATATCATACTATATTATATTACATTACAATAGTGTTTATTATAATACATTATATACTATGCGACATTCTCATGTATTCTCATATATTATATTGCAATATATTACGTTTTATTATATATAGTATATTAAAATATATATCGCAAAGACATAAGACACTAGAAGACTTACCGTGTATCTTAGAAGAAATCATTGCACTGCATTAGTCTAGTTTCATTACTAAGGGAATTTAAGTGAATAGTATGTTTTCGCAGGAATTCTAGTGCCACAAAAGCTGCAAATCATGGTGGAGGTACCAAGAGAGCAAAGCGATTTCATCAGTGAAGGGCTTTAACTAGCATTTCAGTTTAATGTATTTTTGTGTATCTTTAGAGATTACAGGGGAATTGTCCTAACGAATCAGACAGCTAATGCCCACAACGTAAATCAACAACATATGTTTTTGCAAAAAAATGTCAGAATCATCATCAGAGAAATTAAGAAGCATAAATTCTTCCTGACCCAGTTAATTTTATTTTTTTACTTCAGTTTTTGGCTTTTCTTGACTTCCTGACTTTGACTTTAAACATTTTTTGGACTTGGTTACCATGGTGATCAAGACTTTTTAAAGGAAATGAAATATATTCTGTATTATTTGAGGAATGTGCAAGAAGAGAAAATAAAGAAAATTAAATTCCCTTCAACACCATTCTTGAAGAGTTATTAACCCCTGGCCTAAATCATGCACCCCTTTTGCTTATGGAAAAGCCACATAGAATCAGACCAAAAGGTTTGTTCACGCCGAGACATGTCCTGTCAAGTGGTTCTTCTTCACTGTGAGACCCATTCCCGCTCTGAGATGAAAAGATCAATTTAATAGGTCCATTTGTAGACAAATCCATGCTGGCTATTTCAAATAATCTTACTTCCCTTGCAATGATTACAGAGCAAAGGCTTATTTTTTGTTCCAATACCCTTTTGGTAACTAACGCTATGCTGAGAGGTCTAATATTCCCAGTGCTTCTGGTTTTACCCTTATTGTTGCCTTGGTCTGAATTTTGTTAGGATGCTATTTAACCGTTGCTGAAATTTTTCCGGTATTGCAATAATGGTCTAACATGCCCTGGAGAGATCATGTAACCCTTAAAAATATGTAAGTTGTGCTACTCCTCTGTCTTCCCATAAAGTTATTAGCCTTAACTGGAAATCCTTAATTCAGCGCCTCCTCACTTTACCAATTCATTTTCTAACGACGGGTTGGTTGACACTTAATTCTTAGTTTCTGCAGATGTGTGGATCATAGTGAATTCCCGTAAAAACCATATCTTGGTTGGGCTTACGGCTGCTCGTGCACACACGGACAGCACAGCAGTGCTTTCCTACAGAAATATAAACCGCCAATTTTATTTTTGGAGTCGTGCGCAAGATCTTTTGCAATTACGTTAGTTCTCATCCTGTTGGTTTCTTCTCCCGTGTGAAATCCCAGTGCCTTGCGGAATATCACAAAGGAGCGAGGAATTGTTGTCACCCGTTCAACCTACCCCAGCAGCGGAAAGTGGTCAGGACATTGGCTGGGGGACAACACCGCAGCCTGGAATCAGCTCGATAAATCCATCATTGGTACATTGACACAACCTATAACCAATTTATTGCACATTTCTGCTTGGTTCCCTTCCTAATAATCACACTTTTCTAGCCAAAATGGGCTACTCCGTTGAGTGATCAGAATTTACAGCCAATTTCTTCTTGACCTTTTTTTTTCTTCTTATCACCTCTTAAGGAAGACTTTACGGTTTCTATAGGAATTGGGTTTGATTGCATGGGTTTGAGCATCACATTGTCCTCAAATTCATCCCCTGTCACCTTCCTGTCATTCTATCCCTGTGTTGTCCAAAATCTGCTGATTTGTTTCTTCAGAACCAGCTTACCTGGGGGAATTCAGGAAATTCTTTTCTTTTTCTCATCCTGAGTTGTATGATCTACACAACCCCCACTATACCGAACAGAAAAGCACAGTTGTTATTATTGAATCTTTTTTTTTTTCCTTGCAGGTATGATGGAGTTTAGTCTCTTTGGAATATCTTATGTAAGTTCCTGATTACTGTCCTATATTTCAGTTATCTTTATTAACAAAAATGTATGGTATTGCCATCGGATTTTTATTTTTTTATTTTCAGACAGGAGCAGATATCTGCGGCTTCTTCAGAGACTCGGAATACGAGCTGTGTGCTCGATGGATGGAGCTGGGTGCCTTTTACCCGTACTCAAGGAATCACAATGGGAAAGGAGCCAAGGTAGGTGCCTTCCACGTTTGCTTTGACCACGTTTTTTTATTTCAGATATTTTCCCCATTTCCTACATTTTTTTATTCCCCATATATACCATTTTTATGTAAACACACCACATCCACAGGAAGAAAATAGTTATTTTCCATGTGTTCCAGTTCCACTTAAACATACCACCTCTACAAGACTAAAATAGTGTTTTTTTTGTTCATTTAGACAGTTTTTATTTAAACATACCACACTAAGTGCTATATTTATATACTAAAATATTTACTTTCAAGGCTATACACATTTAAAGGGGCAAAATTGACCTTAGTATTATAATCCCTAATTATTTGTAATTTTCCAGTAAATTAGAAAAGGAGAAAATGAGATTCCTGAGTATCTAAAATTCCTGAACTTTGCCCACTTCCTGCTATAAAATATCATATTTCTTCTAGGAATCAATCAAAATAACTGTCTAAATGCAAAGGACTGTATTATAGGATGCTGTAAACCAAAATAACTGGGAAAATAGTAATAAGGGAAACAGCATTTTTATCCTTGTTAGAACTTCAGGTCAGGCAGAGCAGAGCTATTTGTCCCTCGTTAAAGAACAGAGAAATAAATAAATGTACTCTAAATTAGAGGATGACAAGGAATTTGCAAGGCTTCACCCGGATCTCCTCGGCTGTGTCAATTCCGAGGTATTTTGAGTCATTTGACAACGACTGCCACTAAATTCCATGAATTTATGGGTGACGTAGAAGATGAAAAAAAGAGGCGGATCACGAGGTTTTTTCCCCCACCTCTTCCCATTAAAACCACCCAGTTTGAATAACGAGAGACCCTTTTCTCTTGTTTAGAGGCAAGATCCTGTTGCCTGGAATTCAACATTTGAAGACATTTCTAGGAAAGTGCTAACTATAAGATACACCCTCTTGCCCTATTTGTACACATTAATGTACGAAGCCAACGCTCACGGCAGCACCGTGGTCCGCCCTCTGCTCCATGAGTAAGTGTGGTCCTTCCTTCTCCGCTGCGGTGGGTCGACCTTGGCTGGATGCCGGGTGCCCACCAAAGCTGCTCCGTCGCTCCGTCGCTCCATCACTCCATCGCTCCCCTCCTCAGCTGGACAGGGCAGAGAAAAAATACGACGAGAAGCTCGTGGGTGGAGATAAGGACAGGGAGAGATTGGGCAGCGACTGCCGTCACGGGCAAAACAGGCTCGGCTTGGGGAAAATGAATTTAATTTACTACCAATCAAAGCAGAGTAGAGTAATGAGAACTAAACCCGAATCTTAAAATCCCTTCCCTGCACCCCTCGCTTCTTCCCGGCTCAACATCACTCCCGATTTCTCTCCCTCCTCCCCCCG